TTGGAAGGGTGTAGACATCTTGCCTACTCAATAATTTCTCCCCATTTTGCAGCCACTAATGAAAAACTCCCACAAATTGCCTCGTTTCTTGCTTGGGAGTTCTAATCGACGCAAAAGGTGTAATTATAAGTAATTTGAATTTTTACATATAAGAATTATTTTAAAATTTAAGAAAATATTGATACTATTCTTCAGGCGCTAATATCCTAAGAAAATGATAATAGGCGTTGCTCTCTATCCCCATATTTTTCTGCTCCAATGATTGCATTCATAGACTATGAAGAAATTCCAGAACTGGGCCCTGTAGAAATGTTCAGATCATCAGAATTGTTTGAAGAAATGCTTGACTGGGATTTTGTCATGCAACACTATTCGATGATCGGATTTTCAAAACCGGTTAAGCTTGTTTCTATGTCGTGATCAATGGTTTGATCTATTTACCGCTGGAGCTTCCCGAAGGTAACATGTAATTATATGAGTTTTTTGTTCTTCACCACTTAGTATACATAATTTTGGGCTAAAATACCAGATTGGCCTAAATAGCGACACTCGTTTACCACTTTGACCTAAAAAAGTGACACCGGCGATAATTTAACCTAAAAATGACAAAACGACGACAAATAGGCTTTTCTGATTGCCGGGGTTATTTTTTAGCAAAAAATTAAAAAAAAATTATATATAGACTAATTAATCTCTCGTGATTTTTATATTAACTCATCTCCTTTCCCTAATTTTTTGACATTTGTGAAAAAAAATCATTGTTTTCCATTATCTTCTTCCTCCTCCTTCCCACCATCTTTTTCATTCCTTTATTCTTCCTATACCCTAACCTTCCCTCCTCCCTCACTCACTCTCCTACCTTATTTCATGAATCATCACACTTACTTTCTAATTTCCTTCATCTTCTCTAATCTTTTTTACTCCAAATCCCCAGCATCTCCTCCTCTCTCTCATTCCCTCTTCCTTCTTCTCCTCTTCATTTCACTCACTCTCTCTTCCTACTTACTTCACACACTCTCAACACCCAAAATTAAACGTTCCAGCATAAATCTTAACCTCATTCATCTTTTCTTTTCTTGTACTCTCTCTTCCTCATTGCTTCCTACTCCTCTTTCATCCTCCAATCATTAAAAAAATCAATCTCCTTAAGAGTGAGAATTGTTGAAAAATCAGGTTTTCGGTGAACAGTGTCATCAGTTGACTTATGACAGGCATAATTCGACTGATGAAATACCCTGGAATTATGATTTCTTTTCTGCTCAGTCGACTGATAGGCGATCCGTCAACTGATGAGCTCGTTCAGTCGACTACTGATCTGATTAGTCGACTGGTGAAGGTTTGTGTAGTTTTTGTGCACGTTATCAGTCGACCGATGCTTCATATCAGTCGACTGATGACGGGTTCTTAGGCTATTTTTTGTTTCCTGCTTGGTTTTGGATTAGGTATTTATATAAATACAAACACGTTTTTAGTGTTTCTTAAGATGAGTATTAGTAGCCTTTTGAGCACTTTTGAGTGGGAGAATTTGTGAGGACTTGAGAGTTTTGATTTTGGGTTATATTTATAATATTATTGAGTAATTGTAATCTCTATTTGTACACTCTCTCTTTATTAGTGAAATCTATCCCCTCCTTTCCCCGTGGATGTGGGCACATTGTCGAACCACGTAAATTCGGTGTCTTGCTTATGCGGTGCTTGTTTTGGTTGTTGATTTGTGCTCCTATCTCGTTTGTGTTCGTGTTCGTCGATTCCGCTGCACACAACAAGTAGTATCAGAGCTTCGGGTTTGGCTTGGGGTTTGATTTAGAGGATTTCATGCAGATTCTCATTTGAAGAGATTGGATCATCACAATGACCGAAGCAAGTACATTCGGATTATTCCTAACTAAGGCGATACAAGGTTTGAGCATTACTAATACTAAAATTGATGTTTAAAAATTTGATGGCAAGATAAATTTTGGTTTGTGGATGTGTCAAGTGATGGATGTATTAGACGCTCAAAATTTGGAGGAGACTCTTGAATTACAAGAGAAACCCGATGATATGAAGGACAAGGTTTGGAAGAAAATAAATGGTAGAGTATGTTGGGTTATTAGATCATGTTTGATGCCAGATTTGATTTATGATGTCATGAATGAAACATCGGCGAAACGGTTGTGGGAAACACTCAATGACAAGTACTTCACAAAGAGTATTGAGAATATGCTTCATTTAAAGAAGAGGTTTTACCAATTTAAGATGAAGAGGGGGGTTTCCATTAGAGAGCATGTCAATAACTTCACAAAGTTACTATCAGATATGGCAATATGGATATCATGACAGAGGATAAAGACAAGACAATGTTGTTTCTATGTTCATTGCCAGAGGATAATTATGGTACCTTTGTTCTTATGATGATTAATGGTAGAATTACTATCGGTTATAAGGAGGTGACCTCAGCATCGGTGAATTATGAGTTGAAGAAGAGTTATAGTGAACCCTCTGAGAAGGCATCAGGAGATGCATTGACAGTGGGAGGCCATAGTTCAAACCACCATCCATTTAATCGCTCAAAGTCAAAACAAAGAGGTGGCCATAGAAGTGTTGGTAGGAATCAATGTGCTTTTTGCAAAGAGGATGGACATTGAAAAAATAAATGCCCAAAGTTGAGAGATAGAGCCGGGAAGAATAAAGGAAAAGTCGGTCAGACTTCAGAGGTGAATGTTGCTAAAGTTAGTGGTGACAATTCAGATTCAGATTCTTCAGGATATTCATGCCCACCATTACCGTCAGTTTGTTATGCAGACTCAACAAAATGGATGTTGGATTCTGGTGCTACAT